GGCCCAGTTCCTACCAGGCCACAAACTGGTACTGGTCTGCAGTCTGGGGGTTGGGGATCCCTACTTTAGGCAACAGACCACTTGCAGGAAGACCAAAGATGGAAGAGGATATTTTTAGCTCCATAATGTCTGCCTACCTCACCACTGTATTTCCAGAGTCTAGTACAATGCCTGGCCCAAAGCAGGAGTTCAAAAAATGTTTACTGAATGAATCAATGAATAAGCAAAGACTGAGTATGGATTGTGCAGTAGACTGTGTTATAGCCATGCTAGTGCATAGGTGGAACAACCTAGCATACATGAGTTGTGCTCTGTTGTTTGCAAAGATGGTGTTACTAGTCCAGCAAAGCTAAAATGTTTAATTGAGTTAAATGTCAGTCAGTGCTGTATTACTCAGAAGTCTTTGACTTCAGAACAAAGCTTTATTTCTTTCCCCTGTTGTCTATACAGGACTCGGTGTCTCCTAAAAGCAATCCAATAATAGAGTAGTAAATTTAAGAAGTATGATAAATCTCTACAGCTCCATTTTTAAAATTAGTCTTCCCAAATTATAGAACTCAACCCTGAGGAAACTATAGCAAAAACACCATCCTATAAGAAAATCACTGTTAGGATTAGAATGGGACATTTGATTTGTGCTTGATGGCAGGACAATAGGTTTTTCCTTTGCTTTCTTTTTAAGAATTTCATTAAGATTGTGACTATGTGCAGTATATTTTTAATATGACAAAATATTGAGTTCCTATTTCAGGACAGTGGGATGATTATCCTCACATGATTTTCATACTTCTTTTTTCTACTATTCTATATTTAAATTTTTTTCTGTATAAATTATAGAAAGATAAACTTCAGTAAAAAATTTATAAAAGCAAAATACGACTGGGTGCAGTAGCTCACACCTGTAATCCTAGCACTTTGGGAGGCCGAGGCTGGTAGATTGCCCGAGCTCAGGAGTTCAAGACCACCCTGGGCAACACGGTGAAAACCAGTCTCTACTAAAATACAAAAATTTAGCCGAGCATGGTGGCACATGCCTGGAGTCCCAGCTACTCGGGAGGTTGAGGCAGGAGAATCACTTGAACCTGGGAGGCGAGATCATGCCGCTGCACTCCAGCCTGGGCGACAAAGTGAGACTCCATCTCAAAAAAAAAAAAAAAAAAAAAAAAAGCGACCTAGTCATAGTTATTGTATCCTCCATGTTCCCATTGCATTTTTGCATTTCTAGCATAGCACTTTCATTTTAATGCTTTATGTACCAAGGTCCATCTTACCCATATCCTGTACTTATATATTGAGACATAACTTGTAAGTTCAAGGTCACTGGAAGTCATGGGAAAGGTGAGTGTCCAGCTTGCCTTCTAGCTTTGCAAAGGGAATTGCTACTCATCCACTATGCTCTAGGCTCCTTGGGAACAGAGATTTTTATCTCATACCCCTAACTCTTAGCACAGTGCTTTACATGTGAAAAGAAATTGTTGAAATAAATATTAATAGATGTACCTAAAGAAACTGAGAAACAATATATGCAACACTTTTCTTCTAACACTAACAAACTTCTAAGTTTGATTTATTCTGCTGCATAGTCCAAAATGATTTAATTCATTTACTAGTGCTCTGCAGATCTCTTCCACTATATTAAAGTTTAACTCCTTTAGTCATCCATTCAGTCTTTAAACAAACATTTATTGAAAATGTACTATGTGTCATATCCATCGTTAGCTGCTGGAGCTACAAAGATAGATAAGACAGTCTTGCCCTGGAGATGCTCATTATATGGGTGAGAGGCACTTATAAACACACACTGATAGTACAGCTTGTTAGTTCAATGATTGAGATATGCACATAAAACAATGAAGCTGGCCAAAACATCTATTTTTGTATTTTGGGGTTTACAGGAGAAGTTTCCCAGAGGAGGTGGCCTCTGAGCTGAGTATTAAAGAGCTGGCAATGAATTAGTCAGGCAAAGCATATTCCTGACAGAAGTGCAGTGTGAATAAAGGGACAAAGACAAGAATAGCACAGTGCACCACAGAGTTCAGCGTTGCTGGAGGGTAAAGCTGTGGCAGGGAGTGGTGAGCGATGAGGCCGAAGGGGAGGGCAGGAAGCAGGTCATGAGTGCATTGCTGGCTGCCTTACCAGCTTAGCTCCTCTCCCGTAGGCAGTGGGGAGCTGCAGAAGGGTTTTAAGCAGTGACGTTACTGGAGATTATTTTAGTGGCACTGGAGAGAATGAATTTGAGGGAGACAAAAATGTGAAAAAGTGTAACTTCTTAGGAGGCATTTGCATAAATGAGTAATAGACTTGTGTTTATATTTAATAATCATAGCTAACATCTACTTAGTGCTTACATGACAGGTAGTAAGTTAGCATAATGCAATAGTCTTAATATTTCACACCATCTTATGAGTAAATATTAGTATTATTTTCATTTGAAATAATGAAACAGACATAAACAGTTAAGTAATTTGCCCAGGGCCAGTATCAACTCAGGCATTCTAGTAAGTCTTATGTTCCTTTCTTGAGACAGGGTCTCATTCTGTTGCCCACACTGGAGTTCAGTGGCATGATCTTGACTTACTGCAACCTCTGCCTCCCAGACTCAAGCAAGTCTCCTGCCTCAGCCTCCTGAGTAGCTGGGATTACAGGTGTGCACCACTGCTGCCCAGCTAATTTTTGTATTTTTAGTAGAGACGGGGTTTCACCATGTTGGCAGGCTGGTCTCTAACTCCTGACCTCAAATGATCCACCTGCCTTGGCCTCCCAAAGTGCTAGAATCACAGGTGTGAGCAACTACGCCCGGCCAAATCTTATGTTCTTAATCACTATCCTGTTTGCTTAATTTCTGTCTCCTGTATTAGAATGAAGCTCTATGCAGACAAGGACTATGTTTGTGGTGTTCTCCACTGTGCCAACACAACTATTTGTTGAATAAAATCAGTGAATAACTAAGTGGAAGAAATAGTGGATTACATTATGTACACGTTTAAGAAATCGTCATGTACTGCTTAACTATGGAGACACTCTCTGAGAAATTCATTGCTAGGCAATTTCATGATTGTGTGAACATCATAAAATGTACTCACACAGAACCTAGAGGATATAGTGCACTACACATATAGGCTATCTGTTATAACCTATTGCTCCTAGGCTACAAACCTGTAGAGCATGTTTCTGTACTGAATACTGTAGGTAATTGTAACACAATGGTAAGTATTTGCATATCTAAACACAGTAAAGGTAATGTGTTGCCTTACGACGATGTTAGGTGTTATGACTGCTAGGATATGACTAGGTGATAGGAATTTTTCAGCTCTAGTGTAATCTTATGGGACCACCATTGTACGTGCAGCCCATCATTGACCAAAATGACATATGACTGCAGTTGGATGCAATATTGGCATCCAATTATTTGACCAGCTTTGGTGATTGTTATGGACTGAATGCTTGTCTTCCCACAAAATTCGTATGTTGAAGCCCTAACAACCCCCAGAGAGGCCTCTAAGGAAGTACAGTGGTTAAGATTAAATGAGGGCATAAGGGTGGGCCCTAATCCAACAGGACTGCTGTCTTTCTAAGAAGGGAGGACCAGAACCTCTTGCTCTCTGTGGGCATGCACTGAGGAAAGGCCACGGAGAGAAGGCACCCATCTGCAAGCCAGGAAGAGCGTCCTTACCAGAAACTGAGTTGGCCAGAACCTTGGTCTTGGCTTTGAAGCCTCGAATTGTGAGAAAACAAATTTCTGTTGTTTAAGTCACCAGTCTATGCTATTTTGTGATGACAGCCTATGCAGACTAATGATTAATAGGATGAGGTGAATGCAAAGGAGAGCGTTCTAGCCTGGGTGACTAAAGGCACAAGTGGTGCCACTTATTGGGGATACAGGCCCACGAAGAGGAAGAGGAGAGATTTGCTGGGATTAAGGAACAACATTAACTATTCTGTACTTAGAGGTCACCTCACTCAAACATAGAAATATAGAAGTTAGGTATTTAAAACCATTTATTCAATAAATGTTTACACATCCCCTAGCCATGGTGGTCACTGTACTTGCCCTGATAATACAAAGTAAATAAGATTCATTCTCTGCCCTCGATGAACTTACAGTTCAGTGGGGAGAAATATTGTTCCCTTTTGTAAACCTAGCACTCTAGTGTGAAAAACCATTTTCCTCTTCCCCACTGCTAAAGACTTGCAACTCGTAAGAAGTAAAAAGATAAAATCCCATATCATCACCTGTAACTGCAGAGTTGTTTAAGATTGGACAAGAGAAGGTATATAGAAATGTTCTGTCAAGCGCAATATGCATGTTAGCAATTACTGTAATTATAAAGCTGCATTACTGACCTCCAGAAACTGGAGGTGAATCAGCCATGGGCAGCAATCAGAGGTGAAAAAGCTACCTTTGAACCCTGTGGGTGGCAGGCATTCCAGGATGGAGGAAGGAATAAGATGGGTGAAGCAGGGAAAGAACAGGCTTTGGGGTCCTACAGATGTAGTTCACATCACAATTCAGTCAGTTATTAGTTATGGAAAGTTGTACAAGTCATGTTATTGATCCGAGCTTTAGTTTCTTCATCTGCAAAATGGGGTTAATAACATCTACCCAGGAGGGTTGTTCTGAGTATGTAAAGGGCCTGGCATGGTGCCTGGAAGAACTGATAGTGCTCAATTAATGGTAACTGTGGCTTCTATTAATATCATTCTTCTACCTTCTAAGGGATTTGTTGGTGGTTAAGTTACTTGAGTTGCAAGGAAGTAAGAAAAATGGAAGAGCTATTAAAGACCTGCTTTAAAAATTATTTTTTAATTAATTATTTATTTATTTTGAGACAGAGTCTTGTTCTGTCACCCAGGCTGGAGTACAGTGGTGCAATCTCGGCTCACTGCAACCTCCGCCTCCTATCTCAGCAATTCTCCTGTCTCAGCCTCCCAATTAACTGCGATTACAGGTGTGTGCCACCACACCTGGCTAATTTTTGTATTTTTAGTAGAGATGAGGTTTCACCATGTTGGCCAGGCTGGTCACCAACTCCTGACCTCAGGTGATCCACCCACCTCGGCCTCCCAAAGTGCTGGGATTACAGGCGTGAGCCACCGCGCCCAGCCAAAAAAGTTGTTTTTAAAGGCAAAGAAAAGCAGTTCAACCCAGCTTTCATCTCCTAACCTATGGTGCAAATGTATAACTCCTAAAGAAAATGACCACTATGTTATACGGCTTGCAGCCTGAGGACATCCACCTTCTTCCTTATGTCTCATATTCTATCCTAAGCAGATCTACCAAACACTGTTAATAAGGGGTCTCTGAAGGCAATGCTTCTCAAACTTTAATGTCACATAGGAGCCACCTGGAGGCTTGCTAGAATGCAGATTTTCATTCAGTGGATTTAGGGTAAGGCATAAAATTCTGCATTTCTAATATGTTCCCAGGTGAGACTCATGCTGCTCTTTCATGGACCTTACTTTGAGGAAGTAGCAAGGCTATGAAAGGAAGTGGAAATATCTTCCTTGGCATAGTATTCTCTATAATGGCTTGCTTCTCTTTAGTGATCTACCTAAAAACAAAGTAGCTATTAATAGAACACTAAAGGAACTTTTTTCAGACCACGTTTAGAAACTCTGAACAGGGATTCATTTGAGATCAATATCAACTTTTTGGAACAGCTTACTATGTACAAGGCACTGTGTAAGGTGCTGGGGATATAAGAGTTGATATGACAATTCCTACTTCAAAACACTGCTCATTATGCCCTGTATATTGCTAACCTCCTGAGGACAGTCTTCTTGTCTCCCCTGTTGCCTAAAACTGTACAGATGTTTAAAAAATACTAAATGAGGCTGGGTGCAGTGGCTCTCTACTAAAAATACTAAAATTAGCCAGGCTTGGTGCTGTACTCCTGTACTCACAGCTACTTGGGAGGCTGAGGCAGAAGAATTGCTTGAACCCAGGAGACAGAGGTTGCAGTGAGCCGAGATGGCGCCATTGCATTCCAGCCTGGGCGACGGAGTGAAACTCTGTCTCAAACAAACGAACAAAAAAACAAACAAAAAAACCTAAACAAGTGAATGAATGAGTTCATAGGAGTTTCATTTAAAACATCTTCTGCCAGCATATGACAATGACACACTGCTCTGTATCTTAACTATCACTTTTAAGAGGTGACTGAGTTAAAATGAGGCCAGTAGGGTGGGCCTAATCCAATCTGACTGGTGTCCCTGCTAGAAGAGAAAATTTGGTCACACAAGGAGACATGCATACAGAGGAAATACCATGTCAGGACACAGTTAGAAGGTGGTGACTGCAAGCCAAGGAGAGATGCCTCAGAAGAAACCAAACCTGCCCAGACACCTTGATCTCAGACTGCTAGCCTTCAGATCTTTGACGAAATAAATTTCTGTGGTTTATGCCCCCCCAATGCCCAGATCTAAGACCCTACTTCTCTAAGATACACAAAATATCAGCACAATTCTAAGAGTGGATAGATGAACCTCAAGTTGCAGTGGGAGCTATGAATGCAAGGATTAAGGTGAGATGGACTGAACAGGGTGAGACAGCAGCTGAAAATGGACTAAAATAGCTGCCATATATACATTTCTCTCCCTTTTCATCATACCAGCACAAAGTCTAGGGCTGTTCTCTCAAATCTGAGACTGAAAGTAGCTTTTAGACCTTTTCCCCCCTCCCAGGCTACATTTTAAGATTTAATATGATTTCAAAATATTGTGGCAGGAACAAGACCCCAGATTTGTTTGTATTCAAAGTTCTAAAGACTATTTATGATGTTAAAGTAGTGAGATTGAATTTTTCCTTTCCCTCCCTCCCTCCCTCCCTTCCTTCCTTCCTTCCCCGCCTTCCCTCCCTCCCTGCCTTCCCTCCCTCCCTCCCTTCCTTCCTTCCTTCCTTCCTTCCTTCCTTCCTTCCTTCCTTCCCTCCCTCCCTCCCTCCCTTCCCTCCCTCCCTCCCTCCCTTCCTTCCTTCCTTCCTTCCTTCCTTCCTTCCTTCCCTCCTTCCTTCCTTCCTTCTTTTCTTCCATCCTCTCTCTCTTTCTTGCTTTGTTTCTTTCTTTTTTGAGACAGGGTCTTGCTCTGTAATCCAGGCTACAGTTCAGTGGCATAATCATAGCTCACTGCAGCCTTGGGCTCAAATTATCATGGATTACATTTTTGACAAAAAAAATTATACAAAATGCAGTCAAATGAGAGTACTGCTAGCCACAAGGAAGCTAGATCTGAAGCCTGAATCTGAAGTCAAGGGATTGATTTTTTGGTTTTCGTTTTTAATAAACATTCCAACTCATATCAGATGAGAGTCATTCTGGAAAGTTCTACACTTATTCTAATTGTGTCCCTGTTTTCTTTTTTTTTTTTTTTTTTTTTGAGACGGAGTCTGGCTCTGTCGCCCAGGCTGGAGTGCAGTGGCCGGATCTCAGCTCACTGCAAGCTCCGCCTCCCGAGTTCATGCCATTCTCCTGCCTCAGCCTCCGGAGTAGCTGGGACTACAGGCGCCCGCCACCTCGCCCGGCTAGTTTTTTTGTAGTTTTAGTAGAGACGGGGTTTTCACCGTGTTAGCCAGGATGGTCTCGATCTTCTGACCTCGTGATCCGCCCGTCTCGGCCTCCCAAAGTGCTGGGATTACAGGCTTGAGCCACCGCGCCCGGCCGTGTCCCTGTTTTCAAATTATGATTTCTGGAGTTGCTTTCAGGGTTTGTGAGATAGTCTTTTGAATGCTCTCAATGTTGATTCTTGAAAGTAGATTTGATTTTAAAAAACAGTCAAGGGTTCTGGGCGAAATCTGGTGAACTAGGGGGGCAGTCAAACTGTGTAAGGCCAAGAAGAGTGACTCTAATGTACCCAGGCTGATTTTTCTTGAGTGAATTTATAGTCACCAGAAGGCACTTTCTGAAGACAAACTCAGACATGAAGTAAACAAGTTATAAGCATGACATCAAGCCTGAGTTTGGGGAGGAGGGTTGGATGATGGTGACTGCACTGAAGAAAACCCCACTCATTCTAGGATCTCCTCTACCCAGAATATTTCTTCAGGTTCAGATCTATCCTATTTCACAGGACCACAGTTCCCAGAATTACAAGGATCCTACTGCCTTAGTCAACTTTTAACCCCCAACCTGAGTACTTCCCTCCCCCCTCAAAGACAGCGTCTTGTTCTTTTGTACAGTGGTGGGATTACAGCTCACTGCAGCTTTGAACTCTTGGGCTCAAGTAATCCTCCTGCCTGAGCTTCCCAAAGTGCTGGGATTACAAGCATGAGCCACCGCACCAGGCCCTGAACCTGAGTACTTGATATGTGTGCAGCCAATACCTGATGGGAAGTTAAATATGGGGAAGAATGTCTAAGGTGTTTGGGTTTAGTCTACATGATTCAAAAGGCAGAATAGTTAGGAGGATCTGGAGACACAAATTTCTGCTTTATATGGGGAAGACATTGTCAGCCACTGGAGCTGTCCAGCAATGGGACTTGTTTGCTCTGTAAATAGTGAGCTTTCAGCCCTGGGAGTTTAAAGCAAAGGCTGCTTGTATGGGAACCTGTAGAGGTGCCTCCTGTAATAGGTGGGGAGCTATGCAATGACCTTCAAGGGCTATCTCCGACCTACACAGTATCTGACACTTGGTAGGCGTTGGAAAAACACTGGTGGAATGGAATAAACAAGGAATATGTTGCATCTTGTGAGTCAAGTAGAGGGGAAGAGGCCTGGGGCTCAATCAGGAGCAAGAAGTGAGGTAGAAGTGAGATGAAAATAGCCAGGGAGCCAAGAGGTAGAGTCTTCCTTGGGTTTTTGGTACCATAGGAGAGAAATTGCTTTGGGTACCTAGAGCCTCACGTGGTTAGGAAAGGATAAAACCTTTGAAGGGGATAGGAGTTGGGGGAGAAGATAGACTCCTGCTCACCCTTCTTAAACTCCTCCAGTACCGTGTCCAGTCGGGTGTCATTGAAAACACAATGCAGGGGCCGGTTGTAGAAGCGGGTGACAGTGAGGAGCGGGGTGCAGTCGTCGGGGTCCACGAAGGCCAAGTCCTTGACAAATAAAATGTCCACAATGTTGTGCCGCTGGTCGCCCTCATACACTGGGATGCGAGTGTAGCCGCTGCGCAGGATCTCGGAGACAGTGGCGAAATCGAGCACCGCGTCTGAGCGCAGCATGAAGCAGTCTCCCAGGGGGGTCAGCACCTCCTCCAGCACTTTGGTGCGCAGCTCCAGGGCACCCTGTATGATGTTGAGCTCCTCCTTCACCAGGTCGCTGTAGGGGTCTGCGGCCCGCAACGTCTCCAGCAGCTTCTCCCGCGTGTAGAAGGTGCTTATCTCCTGGCGCAGCGCCCAGTCCAGCAGGCGGCCCAGCGGGTAGCACACGGGAAAGGCGGCTGCCATCAGAAGCCGGGTCAGGCACACGCTGTGCGAGGCGATGGCCAGCCCATGCCGCGAACACACTGAGTATGGGCAGATTTCGGCGCCCAGGAATACCGCGCCGGTGCACACGAGCGCCGGCAGCCAAGGGAAGTGGATCCCCTCTTCGCTGTAGTCTTCCCCGGTGCCCCCGACGCCCGGCGGCAGCGAGGCGTACAGCCAGCCAGCCAGGGCCGCGTTGGCTCCGGCTTGGCCCAGGAGCAGGGTGCAGAGCAGATGGGTCCCCCTGCCGCGAACGGCCTGCACGCGGCGCGCCTGCTCCTGCTCGGCGGCCGAGCCGCTGTTCCGCAGCACCCGTAACTCCACCGGGTCCAGAGACAGCAGGCTCAGGCGCAGGCCGCTGAACAGGGCCGACAAGGCTAGCAGCAGGAGCGCCCCGAGCGCCCGCAGCCACGCAGGGGGCAGCAGGTCCCCGCCTGGGCCGTACAACCGCGGGCGGACGCGCAGCAGGAAGCCGCCGGCGGCGCCGTGGTGGTGCCACGCGCGCCCATCCCAGGCGCAGAGCGAAAAGAGCTTCCCGCCACCGCCCGCGCCGCCCCGCTCCGCCTCGCCCTTGCGCAGCTCCCGCACTCGCACCTGGACCAGGGCCGAGCCTGCCACGCCCCCGGGACGCAAGGGCCCCAGAACTTCCACGTCCGATTCCCAGTCGCTCTGCTCCCGGCAGCGCTGCGGTCCCGGGGGGGCGCGTGGGGACCGCGCTAGGGGCCACGCTGCTACCGCCCGGGGGCTCCTCGATGAACACGAGCCGCGGAGCCCAGTCGCCGGTGCCATTCTCCCCCGAGGAGAGGGTCGGTGAGGGCACCGGTGCGGCGGTCGCCGGCGGTCCTGGCTGGAAATAGACACGCAGGAGGAAGCGTACAAACCGCGGGCGGACGCGCAGCAGGAAGCGGGCGGCGGCGCGTGGTGGAAGTACGCGCGCCTATCCCAGGCGCAGAGCGAAAGAGCTTCGCCACCGCTCAAGGCCGCCCCGGGCCTCCGTCGGCTTCTTGCGCAGTTTCCCGCACTCGCACCTGGGACTAGGCCGAGCCTGCCACGCCCCGGGACGAAGGGGCCCCAGAATCCCACGTCCGATTCCCAGTCGCTCTGCTCCCGGCAGCGCGCGGTGGTCCCGGGGCGCGTGGGACCGCGCTTAGGGGCCACGCTGTCGCCCGGGGGCTCCTCGCGGATGAACACGAGCCGCGGAGCCCAGCCGCCAGCTACCCTCCGAGGAGAGGGTCGGGTGAGGGCACCGGTATGGCGGTCGCCGGCGGTCCTGGCTGGAAATAGACACGCAGGAGGAAGCGGTGCCTTCGGGCGGCGCGCAGGTGCCCTTCCAGGGACACGCGGCTCCCCAGCAGTGTCCTCTGGCCGCAGGCCCAGCAGCCAGGCGGCGGGTGGCCGGGGGCCGGAGGAGACAGGGAAAAAGAAGGAGCAGAAGCACAGCGCCTCGGCTGCAGCAGTCCCGAGCCTGACACCCACCGCTGCTGCCGTTGCCGCGGCCGCCGCCATCCTGCAACCAGCGCTGCTGCACGTGATACTGCAGAAAGCCGAGCGAGAGCTGGAGGGAGTGAGGAGCCGAGCCGGGAACCCAGCCGCAGGCAGGTCAATACGTGTACGCCCACTGCGCGCTTGGGCTGCGGCGGTGGGGCATTCAGAATTCGCCTGGGCAGGGGGTCCCTGCGGGAGGCTGGAGGTGCCAGGCATCACCACACTGTGCGAGCCGGTACAAACTTCAGTATATCTGAGCTGCAGCCTGAAAGTCTCGGGCTTGCAGCACGGCTTCCTACTCCAAAAGTAAGGTGCTCCTCATGAACTCCTACCCGGCAGTAATTCCCCTGCCGGCTCCACTGCTTCCCCATTGCCCGGGAAATTTCCCGCTTTTTGCTTCTCCTGCCACTTGGCATTCCCTTCTGGTCAAAGAATATTCTGAGTCAAGTCTTGAATATGTGAAAACTTTTAGCCTAACTCCAGCTGACCTTTCATTATTGTAAAATTTCTGAATTATTTAAGTTCAATTTCTAGTTAAGATCCGAATGTCCATCAATATGAAACTGTTGAAATAAATGAAACCACTGTGCAATGGAATACTATATGGCAAGAAAAAATAATGAGGTGGATCCATTGTATATGTGATGTGGAAAAAAATCTCTGAAGTAATTGTAGAAACAAAGTAAGGTGCAGAACAGCAAGTATAATATGCTACCATTTGTGTTAAAATTATTTATGTATAAATTCAAAGCACACACATTTATATGAGATTTATTTATTTATTTATTTTGAGACGGAGTCTTGCTTTTAGTTACTCAGGGGTGGAGTGCAGTGGCACAATCTTGGCTCACTGCAACCTCCACCTCCCAGATTCAAGCGATTCTCCTATCTCAGCCTCCTGAGTAGCTGGGATTACAGGCATGCGCCACCATGCCCAGCTAATTTTTGTAATTTTAGTAGAGATGGGGTCTCACCGTGTTGGCTGCTTTCGGTCTCGAACCCCATTTCAGATGATCCATCTGCCTTGGCCTCCCAGAGTGTTGGGATTACAGGCGTGAGCCACCACGGTACTCCACCGGTTACATATTTTATTTTATTTATTTATTTATTTATTTATTTATTTATTTATTTATTTATTTTGAGACGAAGTTTCACTTTTGTTGCCCAGGCTGAAGTGCAGTGGCGGGATCTCGGCTCACTGCAACCTCCACCTTCCAGGTTCAAGCGATTCTCCTACCTCAGCCTCCAGTAGCTGGGATTACAGGCGCTTGCCACCATGCCTGGCTAATTTTTGTATTTTTGTATTTTTTTTTTTTTTTAGTAGAGATGGGATTTCACCACATTGGCCAGGCGGGTCTCGAACTCCTGACCTAAGGTGATCTACCTGCCTCGGCCTCCCAAAGTGCTGGGATTACAGGTGTGAGCCACCGCGCCTGGTTGGTTACATCTTAATGATAGTACAATATCAAAAGCAGGAAGTTGATATTGGTGTAATGTGTATGTGTATAGTTCACTATCATTTTATCACATGTATGGATGTATGTGACCATCACTGCAACCAAAATATAGATCTATTATCACAAAGACCTAGGAGGGAGAGTTTGTTATTAAATTCCTTGTATTGTTTGAATTTACCCTGGGACTATATTATTTTTATACATTTATTTTTAAACTTTATATAGTAAAATTCACTTTTTGGTGTACTGTTCTATGAATTTTGACAAATGCATATACATGTAACCATCACAATGAAAAGTAATCCCATCACCACCCCCCCACCCTGCCAATTCTCTTACTGTCCTGTTGTAGTCAACCCCTCCCTCTGTCTTATCTTCTGGGAACTACTGATCAGTTCTCCCCTATAGTTTTCTTTTCTGGAATATCATATAAATGGAGAATACAGTCTGTAATCTTTTTGAGTCTCCATTCCTTTACTAAGTTAGCATAATGCATTTATGATTCATCTGTTGTTGTGATTTTCAGTAGTTCATCCTTTTGTATGGCTGAGTAGCATTCCATTATATGGATGTATGACAGTTTGTGTATCCATTCAATAAGGAATATTTGAGTTATTTCCAGTTTTTAGCAATTATTAATAAAGTGGCTATAAACATTTGTGTGATGGTTTTTGTGAGAACATAAATTTTTATTTCTCTTGGGTAAATTTATCATAAGTCTGTATTACATTTTAAAATATAGTAATCCCAGCTACTTGGTAGGCTGAAGTGGGAGGATCTCTTGAGGCCAGGAGTTAGAGACCAGCCGGAACAATGAAGGGAGACCCTGTCTCTAAAATATTAAAAATTAAAAAACTTAGCCAGGCATGGTGACACATGCCTGTAGTTTCATCTGCTTGGGAGGCTGCAGCAAGAGGATCACTTGAGCCCAGGAATTCGAAACTGCATTGATCTATGATAGCACCACTGCACTCCAGCCTGGGCAACAACTTGTCTCTAAAAATCATTAATAAATTAAAAAGGAAGAGTTATTTTACATACGACCCTTGGCACCTCTGTTTAGTGTAAAAAATCATCCCTATGTGTGAAATCTCATTTTCCATGGCATTTGTAACGTACCATTGTCTCAAAATACACTAGATCCTGTTCACTATAAGCTGCTTCTGCTGGGCGCGGTGGCTCACGCCTGTAATCCCAGCACTTTGGGAGGCCGAGACGGGCGGATCACGAGGTCAGGAGATCGAGACCATCTGGCTAACACGGTGAAACCCCGTCTCTACTAAAAATACGAAAAACTAGCCGGGCGTAGTGGCGGGCGCCTGTAGTCCCAGCTACTTGGGAGGCTGAGGCAGGAGAATGGCGAGAACCCGGGAGGCGGAGCTTGCAGTGAGCCGAAATCGCGCCACCGCACTCCAGCCTGGGAGACTGAGCAAGACTCCGTCTCAAAAAAAAAAAAAAAAAAAAAAAGAAAAAAAAGCTGCTTCTTGCATGGGTTACTTAAGAGACAGAAGGGAGGTTTAATCTTAAGAGAGAACATTGAGGCATTTTTTGAAAGTATAGGGGAAGGAGAGAACTGGGGTCAACCATATGATTGTTTTACTTTCTTTTGTTTTTTTTTCCTTGAGACGGAGTCATGCTCTGTCACCCAGGCTGGAGTGCAGTGGTGCGATCTTGGCTCACTGCAACCTCCACCTCCTGGGTTCAAACGATCCTCCTGTCTCAGCCTCCCAAGTAGCTGGGATTACAGGTGTGTGCCAACATGCCTGGCAAATTTTTGTGTTTTTAGTAGAGATAGGGTTTTACCATGTTGGCCAGGCTGGTCTTAAACTCCTGACCTCAGATGATCCACCCGCCTTGGCCTCCCAAAGTGCTGGGATTACAGGCGTGAGCCACCTGCCCAGCTGATTTTCTTAAGAGCAAAAAAGCTCTTACTTCTCTCCTGACACTTAGACTTCTTTCCCTTCCCAACCTAAACTTCTTAGCACAAAGATGCCTGCTATCCTAAGGGTTTTCCCACCTCTTTTAGGCCACAGAACATTATCATCATTACAATACCACTTAACATCTTTAACAAGCTTTAGACTTATGAAGGAATTTCTTATTTATTATTCCAATACACAAGAGCTCTGGGAAGTAGCTATAATTATACCCATTTTACAGATCAAGTTAAATGACTGGTAGAACTTCTTTGGACCCTCGGTTGATGCTCCCTTTACCTGGTAGAGCTGACTGAAATAAAATGTTTAAAAACTATTAGAGCAGGAATTAAAAAACTGAAATTTCTGGTTATAAAGTATTACATGCTTATTAACAAAAGTTTTAATGCAGAAAAACATAAATAAAAATACACCAACCAGAGGTAAACACTGTTAACACTTTTTATACTCCTTTTTACATTTTCTACATAGATAAGTAATTGAGAAATACATTCACACATACACATATGTGCTCTCCATATAATTATATATTTTATAATTGAATAGGTATTATATATATAATCTAGTCAGCTCCTGTTGCTTAACACATCAAGAGCTTTTCCCCCAATGTAATAAAAAATCTTTCATAAATGAAATTTAAATAAATCAAATATATGTGTATTACAGATATATTGAGAAAGAGAGAGAAATGTAAGAATGAACCTATTCCCAATTGCACCAGCTCTATTATTAACAAGTGTTAGGCTTGGAAAATCAATCCACTTTTCTGGGCTCATTTCCTCATTTGTGAAGTGAAAGACAGTTTTAAGCTCCCTACCCTTTCATGAGTCAGTGAGTAAGGGCTAATGTACACTGTGAAGATAATCTAGAGAGACTGAGTACTTTTCCTTTTACTGAACAGGAGGTTCTGGAAAAGTACTGGGTTTCCAGAGCTCTGCTGTAACTGAAGGGATTCCTGGGGACAGGTTCAGGCAGTGTGATTCTCCTAAGGAAGGGCTGCCAAAAATAGCTCCCCAGAATCTGAATGTTTACTGTCTTCTTAGCTTACAAGATGGGCACTTCCTCTCTTCTTGGAGAGACGGAGGAAATAATACTTACTTTTAATATCATGACTATGTTATTTCAGAATGTACATGTTAAAATGCTTTTGTTTATTTCATTTCTTGTTCATCCATTCCATAAATATTTGTTAATCAACGAAGTGCCAGGCCTTGTGCTAGATATTGGGCATAGCCGACACCATCTTCGCCATCTTGGAGCTTAGATTCTCCTGAGGAAGACAGACATAAACCAGAAATTGCCTACCTGCCTAATTAGTTAATTACTCCCATGAAGGAGCTGTTCAAAGTGCCCTGAGGGTGTATGGGACTCATCATCTAGAGAAGAGGGTCTGAGAACGCTATCCACAAAAATTAGATGTTATAAAAATGGAAGAATTTATACATAGGAAGAACATAAAATTATTGAATTTTGTATCTTCTATTCCTTTTTTGTACTTTAAAACTATGACAGCATATTAGTAATATTCCTAATAATATCATCTGTTAGCTCTTTTTTTTTTTTTTTTTTTTGAGGCAGGGTCTTGTTTTGTTGCCCAAGCTGGAATGCAGTGGCGTGATCTCTGCTC